GCACATCTCTCACAGGAAAAGGAAAGAGAGGGCACTTCGGTTAGTTAAGCCTGTTTGAGTCGACAAGGCCTCTCTCGAAGTGTGATTGAAAATTTTGGCCGTAATCTGTCTGAATCGTCCGGTCCGGATACGAACCCAGAAATCAATAGTTATTCACATGAAGGTATGTACGAGGAATGATTCTAATCTACAAGTCCGAAACATATGGTAACGTTATTCTCACTATGATAACCATGAAGTGGTGAAGTAAATTCTGGTGGTTTATATTTCTCCTTTGCAAGAAATATCACTCATCATTTGCAAGTGGTTTTTTTAGCTAAGATAATAAAATGAAATATCATGATTTCAATGATAAAAATTTTGGAATCGTAAATCTCTACTATGTCTCATATATAGAAATTTTTTGATATTGACCAAATAGTGCACAAAGTCAAAGACTTGTCACAGACTGACAGCAATCGCCAATTGTGAAGGGCAAGTGGGTAAGGCCTATATATTACTTACAGGTGGTAGTGCTGTTCATGTGTTGTTAAGTTTTCTTTGAGTATCATGTTCTGAAATCGACATTTAGTGGAGTGTGTCTCTTGTGAAAGATTAGCAAGTGGATGGATCTAAAACTAAAAGTGATATTAGGTCTACTGAAATGTGTATTAAATGCTTTGATGATCAAAGTAATACCTTTGTAAATACACCAAAAATAAATTTCAGATCAGAAAATTATAGCATTATGGGATATATATTTTACTCAGTTTTTATGCAGTATATATGGCAACTATGAAGTAAAAACCTCCATTATTATAAATATTTATTACATCGTCGCGTCATATTTGTTTATTTTTTCTCACTTATCAATAGCAATGAAGGTGAACATATATTTTGTAAAATATCAAACTATTTCTATGTTCACTTATATCTTTTTTGATATTAATCACAATCTGGGCCCGGTATATTTTTTCTCATCCTAAATGCTCTTTTGAGGATGTGCTGGAGAGGCTTTCGCGGTGTCTCTGTCGCGCTGCTCGTGGAGTTGACGAGGTCGAGTCCACCTTTCTCCTCGTTTTCTAGATGAGAACCCATTATTCTAAGAAGGATAGAGCTCGTTCGAAATGCGGTGGACTCGAAGCTCCTGATTTTGCGTCCGGTGCATGGCTTTGGTCGTTGCTTTCGTTGAACAGATATTCGGACAACTCAGCCTCACAAACTATTATTATTCGGACCTTTTTCGAGGCATACGAAGCGCACACTTTATTACCGGGGATCAGTGCGCGCGTGGAGGTGCTGGGGTGGCCCTCAATCTTTCAAAAGTTCAGGATCAGAATATAAATCTGCTTCACTGGTGCCCACATTTGCAATTTTGATTGATATGTTTCTCTACTGTTAAAGAACGATCAGATGTTCTCGATCTGCTCACATATCTCGAGTTCGCACCAACATTTGCGACGCCTCGTTTCCAAATTCCCTTACCTTCACCACTTGGACGAAGAATCTGATCTGATATGCTGGCAACAATTGTGTCCCGATCAGAGGGCGGGTGCGAATGTTGCTTAGATCCGCCAGAAATCTCGTAACACTTCAAGTAAGAATGGGACGAATATTTCCCCGTGTCTTTAGAAGAGGTCTGCAGTTTACTCTAAATCAAACCTTCAATTGCATAAATTTATGCAAAATAAGAAAAATATCGGGACTATCTAACCAAGGTGGACGTTGATGAAACGAGAAGTTTACAGTGTGGCGAGGCTTCAATGTCATCAAAATGGATGTCATACTGCATTAAATAAGTGTCTGCTCATAAATGTAGAAATTGCGTTGGATTGCAAGAAACCAGACAAGATATTATATCTGTTTTCTTTGGACGGTCATCAATCTACAAAATATTTGTAGAGAATTGCAAAATACTTCACATAGGTCAAGTTCAAAGCAAATTATCAGTGTAACACATAAGCAAGAACATTTTCTTTGCATTTATTGCTATGATTATAGCATAGGAGACATATTTTTACATATAGAGCATCTTGAACTATTTCCATTTTAACATAAGTTGGATGCAGATTTTATGATAACTTGATATAAACATAATTTCATAAATTTTCACTATTTCTTAATGAACTTCATCATTTTTTGTACTAATAGGCTTGTCTATGTGCTTGCTAGGGCAAATATATAAGCTAGTGAATTTTTTCTTTTTGACTGCAAAAGGTTTCTATAACTTGCATTCAAAATCTTTTATATAGGGACGAGTTTTGCCTTGGCTTGATACATCAATATGAATCTCTAATATTTAAATGCTTGTGTTCAAGTATCCATGTAACTTGTTGTCATCTTGAAAGGTAACTATAATCATCCATAATGTGACAGGAAGTTGTATATTTCACATGCAGGAAACAGTTGGCATTCTTTGACAGTAGTCGTACATGGTAGGAGTTTAATTCTATGTTCATGTAGCTTTCTTCGTTAGAAGAAAATTCCACAAAAATCTAAACTGTGACACGATGTTGTGTTGTCAGAAGTATGAGAAAACAGTATGTGGATAGGAATGTCAACATTAAAAATACAGTAAAATGCATGGACATGATAATATAAAAGAGTATCGTGTGGGTGGCACAATACGATTATGAAGTAGCAGCTTGTGAGGAAACCACGAGAGCTTGGAATGGATACATTCCGGTAAGAGTACCGTTGATGAAACTCGAAGGATCTTATGCGTTGGCGGAGGCATAAGCGCTGTTGAGAGCATTTCGCCGGGGTAATGCTTGAGTAGCACGTAGTCTTTTGATGAAGATCTTAAATGTGCATTCATTGTCACGAATTCTAAACTTCAAAGTTTTTATCCAACAGCTTATTTTGGGGAAATTTATGCATAGATTTTTTGGGAAACTTTAAAAGCATAGTAGAGTATAGAATGATCTCCATACAATGATAGGTTAAACTATCACTGCACGGTTCTTCCAAATTATGAAGTTAAAGCATAAGAGGATCTTCGTATGGTCTTGTAATAACTGTTAGCTCTATTTTGCAGTAATGATAAAGCTTTTCTCTAAAGCCATGCACAAGCATGCATTAGAAAAAAAATATCGACACAACGTGAAAAAGTGTAGAATACGATACATATTAATATATCGTATTAATATGTATCGTATGAGATTAAATTATATGTATAACACATAATTTAATATTTTCTAAAAAATTCATATTCATGGCTCCACATCCAGCTTTGGCTGATGTAATATTTCAAAAATAAATTCATTGGTTGATATTTTTTGCGCTCAATTTGACGTATATATATATATATTAGAGTTTGTAGTCGCAAGGGTAATATATTCCCTTCCATACAGCACCACAATCGGTCAGATATTTACGTATTCGGCAAAGCGATCTTCGACCTTATTGGTTTCAAACATGAGGATATTATGGAGTTTGCGCATCCTTTGGGCAGAAAAGGACGGGCAACACGAACAGGCCTACGTCAAGGGCGAGCTGTCGAAGTGAAATACGTTTCCCTTCTTCGAGCCTGGGGGCTACCTCCAGTTCATTCAGGCTGGCCGACGTCGCACTTCAGATTCGAGCAAGTTGTCTTGCGCCAGAAGATGAAGCCCAGTTTAGCCTCGCCCTCACGTCCAAGACAAAGCGGCCGTTCGTTCATTAAGTGACGCCATCGGCACCGTCACTGGCAGCCGCTCGCCAGGGCTCGTTCTACGACGACACGGCGGGGGAACAGCGAGCCAGTTCCACAGCACGAACCAACGACTGAACGACGGGAAGACCCCATCGGCTCCCTCGCCGGGTCTGAAACCGGACCGTTAACTCGGCGCGACGATTTCGCCCGCAACGGCCTGCAGTCTCCCCCCCCCCCCAGTTGTCGCCAGGAATGAATCCGAGAAGCGGGGGAAGGAGCGGGGTAAGGGGTTCTAGTGGATCTGGAAAAAGGGCCTCTTGGGCATGACAGTGGCACAAGCCTGGCGCACGCGGTGAGCCCCCTCCTAAATCCGAAACGAAGACTTTGTCCAATTTAAGAAATAAAGCGCGCGGACGTTCCCCTCATCCTCCCGGTCGAGAGGCGCGTTCGGATCGGAGGGCAGGGGAGGGCGAGGTCAACGTCCAGTGAGCCGATCCACGCAACGATAACCCTTGCCCGTGGAAAGGCTACGGCTGTTGTTTTCCCCTTGCCCGGATGCTATTCCGTCTGTAGACCCATTGACTTCCGGGTCCTATATTTATCTTATTGAATTCGATCCTAAGTTACCCTGTTTGATATTTTCGGATTATATTAGACTCACAGGTGTTCCCATCCTTTAATTTTATCCCTCTCGGTACCCATTTTAATAATAATAATAATACTATTATTATCCACGTGGACTTCAATTCTACTGAATGAAGTCCACGTGGTGGATTTGCAGATATTGTAGAAATCATTACCCAGTAACCGAACCGGAAGGTGAAACGTGACGACGTAAGTCGGTCGGGAAAGGTGATAATCCGATCGCCGTTTTTCTTCTGGGAATGTTCCGGTACAGATGACGGCCACGTGGAGAGGGACGAGCATGCACGGGAAACATTCCTTCCTGCAATGGACGGAAGTCGGTTGCGAGCTCTGCCGGCTGTCCGTCCGTAGAGTAATTCAGACAGCCTAAAGACGACACGGGGTCGGGAAAAGTAAGAAAATTTCACGCGCAGGTGAAATTGATTTTCTCCTCGGGACACGGGAGACCCACCGAGCGAGGGAAGGGAGCGAGGCGCTCGCGTTCGAGTCCCAGCGCAGGGACGCTGTCCCTCTGGAGGTCAGTCTGGAAACGGGGCAGGTCGCATTGTGGCCCGAGCGGCGACCACTGGGACTGGGACTGCCAGGGCAGGAAAGGGAAGAGAAGGGCAGGGCGGGACAGGGCGGGACAGGGCGGGGTGCCATGTCCCGTCGAGGAATTTGTCCCCGATGAGGGTCGGGGTCGGGGTCTGGGTCTAGGGGAGGGCCACTGGGGCCCTCCCCTCGCCGCGGGCAGCCCCCACTAGAGCTCGGTGGGGGAACTGGCGCACGATTTCATTCGAACAACGAGGAGGACGAGACGACGAACACGAAGACGACGACCGCGTCGCTCGCTCGGGGATGAAATAAGCGAGCGCGAGCAGCAAGAGGAGGAGCCGAGAGGAGCGAGGAGGGCGGAGGCAGTCAAGCATTGAACGAGCCGCCGCTCGGGATTTCTTGAAAACGAGGAGCGGGAGGATCAGTTTCTCGAGGGCGTCCGGGAGGATCGGTGCTCCAGGAGTAGGACGTAAATAGTCGAATGAATGTCAGATTATCAGGCTGAGGCGAGCCGCTGGACGTCGTTATTTTCACAGAATCGAGGAACAACGTGAATTTCTGCCGCGAGTAACAGGAATTTGCATATATAGTTGGGGGCGGAATTTTCAGCTCTGTACTGGATGCGCGGACACTTTCTGAGAATTTGTACGAAGAAAAGCGGTCTCCATGGTGGCCTCGACAATTGAGGGAGTTAGGACCGTGCTCGTTGTTGTGACTGTGGTGCTGACTGCGTACTTGGGAGCAGGTTTCGCTGTGACAGTCCCGACTGATGGTGAGCCTTCGATCTCTAATCTGCAGACGGTTCCGTGTTGTATTTGTGTGTGTGAAAGATATCCAGATACAGATTTTGAGAATCATGCTCGCGATTTCCACCGGTTACACAGCGATCAGTATATGGACACTGTAAACTCACGCGTTATTGTCGAGGTCTTAGAAAGAATGATCATTCACCGAGATGTGGAAGACAGTGATGATATACATAGTCCGGGGTTGTGAATGGTCGGCTGAGCTGAGCTGAGCGTAAGGGCGGAAGGATGTGAATGGCCCCCCTCTGTCGTGCGTGATTCAATGGAACACTAGGGGACAGGTTTAGAACAGACATTCAGCCGTGTTCAGGCACCTGGATCGCTACATGGCCAATTGGTCTGCTGGAGAGCGAGAATTTTGTTACCGAGTTGGTCAGGATGTAGAATCGTCCGCCGCTTTCGGAGACTGAAGGCCGAGTGTGCAATAAGCGCCTTTTGTTGGCCTTCTTCTAGATCCTGGATTACATAATGCTATCTTTCAGTCGGCTGACTTTGCCACCGATGCAGTCCTCTTGTTGAAATCTGATGAGCTAAATTTTTTCTTGATCTGCTTCTCTTTTCTTTCTTTCTTCTTTTTCTGCAGTCACTGCACTGAAAGCGCTTCAAGCGGCATGGGGCTCCGGCGGGGCGAGTCTGAATTGGGCTGGGGATCCATGTGACAATGGGTGGACTGGAGTCCTCTGCGATCCGACCAACACAAGAGTGATATCTTTGTACGTTTCCTGATTCAAACGACTTCCTGTGTGCTATGTCGGTTCACACGAGATTGACCGAGTGAAGGGACCGTTCTGAAAAGTCAATGTCTTATATCTGTCGAGACTTTGATTTCTTATGGGTGGATTACTCTCCCGTGAAATTTGCCCATGCACCTGCTTCGAGCGAATTCATGTAAACCCTGAGTATAGCTGATATTGAGCTGGTCAGATGTTGTCCTCGTTTGCGCTTTGTCATATGGGCTGGCCTACTGATCTTTGAACCTTTCTCAATTGGCAGGAGTCTGGACAGCAGTAATCTCGTTGGAGTGATCCCACCAGACATAGGAGGTCTCGCTAATCTCCAAACTCTGTAAGTTGCCAACGCTCACACTTCGTTGTAATCTGGTGAGTGCATGCCGGAGTTGTACATTAGCAGCAGCAGAAGTCTCTGTCACAGGGGATTAACAAATTTTTCATCCATCGGAAGCGCTGAAATGTTGTGGACTTTGATATCTGGCATAATCTGTCGCGAGGATGATTATGGTTGAATGGGCTCAATCCATCCCAAAATGCTTTCTTTCGAACTCTGCTTCTCGGCTCCCTCTCCAGTGGGAGTCTGAAAATGTTTGACATTGAAGCACTAAACTTGAAGAATATGGGATAAACTCAAGTCGCGCCAGCAATGGGATTTCGTACTCCGAACTGCCCCATCGATTGAGCGTTTCCACCGTTTCGTCTCACTGTTTGTTTTTTTTGTTATTGGTTAGGGAGCTGTCTGTTAACCCAGGACTGACGGGGAGCTTACCGACACAGATAGGAGACCTCACAAATCTGCAAACATTGTGAGTAGTCTTCCTCGATTGCACATGGGTTTAGCCGTTTGGTGTTTGATTGAAAGATAGAGAGGAAGTCACAGGGTACGTGATTACGAACACTGCAGTTTATTAAATGATTTATGTCTGATTTTTCCAGGAGTATGCAATTTTGTGCGTTCACTGGAGAGCTTCCCTCAGAAATTGGGAACCTCGCAAACCTCAACTTCATGTAAGTACAAGGCTGAAGTCTATAAGAACCGGAGATTCATTTGGTATATCTGGATTCGGAAAGTTGTGTTTCCGCAGTTTTCTGTTGCATATGAAGTTTCCATTGATGTCTTTTTTCACATTTGCAGAGGAGTCAACGGAAACAACTTGAACGGTAGTCTTCCCGATACTCTTGGAAAATTAGATAAGCTGGTCTGGTTGGACATATCTCAGAATCAATTTACTGGGTCTCTGCCGGTTTCCTCAACCTCCGCGTCGTCAATTGGCTTGGACAATCTTACGTTGGTGCAGCATTTGTAAGCATTTGCCGATTTCCAACAAATGATTTCCTGAATGGATTTTCCATGTTCAGTTTTTGTGTCCCTCCAACCATAAATGGCTCTGGTATCCTCCTTTTGTTTCAAAGAAGGCCAGCATCGAATATGCAGACACTGACAAATGCGTGCACCACCTGTGTTATCGATTTTTCAGCCACTTCAACAACAACACGCTCACGGGTACAATACCGCCGGAAATTTTCTCTTTGCCAAAACTTATCCATCTGTAAGCCTTTCACTCTATTCTAGCATTCAAATTTCGTCTGGTTATTGCTGATCGGGTCTTAAAGCAAGATTGTCTTTTTCATTGTCTTTGAAATCGGCGAAAGTTGGTTCATAATGTATGGAAGAATGTCTTATCCTTTGTCTAAATCGTACCAGTGCACGTGTCCACGAGCGTAATTGTTTCCTTCAATGATGGTTTAACCTTGCTCTCTTGTCAGGATTTTGGATCATAATTTGTTCGAAGGACAGATACCCACAGAGGTTGAAAACAGCCCAAACCTGACAATCATGTAAGAGACCATTGGCGTCTCCAATATGTGACGTTAACTTGTCCATTCGCTTTCCGTTAGCCTCGAAATGTGGATATGTAGTTTCTAGATTTGAATCTCACATGTCTCATCATACTTACAAAGTTGCCGTAACCTTACAGAAGACTCGACTCCAATAATCTGGATGGTCCAGTACCTTCAGAATTGAGCAAAGTGACCACTCTCACTGACATGTGAGTGATTTCTTACCCATGGCAAAGAACAGATGCATTAGCTAATAGCAAGCAATCTACTCACCAATGTATTTCTATATTGGATTGACTGGAGATAGAGTTCCGCCGTATGGATCATATTATCATCTTTACTCCGGCCATTGACTCTATCTCTAAACTTCATTGTTTCGAAATCTACTCGCAGCAACTTAGGAAGTAACAAGTTGTCAGGAGTCTTGCCAGACCTGAGTAACTTGACGAGTCTGCAGTCACTGTAAGTGTCTTCTTATCTTTATGTCTCTTTCGTGATTCTTTAAGTCGTCTGTTATGAACTTGGCTTTTCATCAACGATACTTCACCGGGTCAGTCGCTCTGGTGTTGATCCCTTTGGATCTTTGAAGTCAGGGAATGTGTGAGAGGCACACACTAGTTAGTACAGCTTGATATTTGATGTGAGTAAAGCTTGCCAGTTGTGGGTTCCTTCCGATTGGCACACTGATTCCTCTTGGTGGGAATTTGCTGGTTGTTCCATTTCTCAGGGATGTGGGTGATAACCAAATGGGTCCACAATCTTTTCCAGAATGGGTTCTTGGATTTCCAAGCCTGACAACTTTGTAAGTGTTGAGAGTGCTGGCTACCCAAAGTTTGTGGATTGACCTGTATCTTGGAAACACTGTGTGCAATTTGATGGTTTGACCTTTACTTCTTCCACTTCGTCATTGCCCCACTCAAGTCAGAGTTGGACTGGTCGCTCGTTGTGCAGATACTTATCTAACGGCGGTATCACAGGAGAACTAAACGCAACGGTTCTCACCCTTCCATCCCTAGAGACCCTGTGAGTAGCAAAGTTCTTTCGTTGTCAATTATTGCGCATCCCCTCGCAACCGTGGTCTTTGCAGTATAGCATGAGTGTGCGATGGACGTTATCTCAACCACGAAATTTTATTGAATAACAGGGACCTTCGGAATAACCAAATTAGCGGATCTCTCACCTTCACTGGTGCAGTCTCGAACGCCCTAAGTGCACTTATCCTGGACAACAACAATATCGATGGATTTGTTGGGCAACCTCTACAAAGCGGGGACAAAACCTTCGTGATTTCGTGCGTTACTGTACCTCCTGTGGAAGTTCTTTATTGTAATGCATCAGTGTGATTTTCTACAGTGAATGAAGTCTTTATTGATCTGTAGCAGACAAGCCCCTCCATCTCATACCGTGATGATTGTTGTTGCAGGCTTTACAATAATCCCCTTTGTAGTAATAAGTACATCGAACCAAAGGGGCTCTTATGTGAACCGTATGACTCTTCAAATGTGTATTTACCACCCTCTCAAACCTGCTCTTCGAGTTGTGACAAGAATAAGAAATTTAATCCCAGAATGTGCAGTTGTGGCTACCCCCAGGAAGTCATCCTTTTGTTGACAGCTAGTTTTATAAGCTTCGATAACACGACGAGGATGACAGACTTGGAAACCGAATTGGCAGCTGCGATAACCAATGTGACAAGGTACGATGTGACGTTGACTCCGGGTCAGGTCTACATATATAATGCCTCCAACACTATGGATAAAAGAATTAAACTCGAAATCTGGTTCTTCGCGGCTGTTGGCGATAAGTTGACCGCTGCTGAGCAAGATGGCATCACTTACTCGATGAGGCAGCACTTGTTCACACTCAAAGAAGGACCCTACACTCTTCAAGTGGAATCCTTTTCAGGTATGTCTTAATGACTTCGCCTTTGGAAGCACAAGGCACCAGATCTTTTACCCTTCGGAGCAACTGAGTAACCGTGTCTGAGCTCAGATGCATATGACGCTCATTGTAGCTCAGAATCTGCATAAATGCATGAGTCTGAGCTACAATTTGCTCGTGAACCAGGCGTGTGGAGCCAATGGTAAAAGATAGTCTGGTTACGGGCATTTGGTTATTTGTATTAATGTTCTTGTGTACTCTACCTCGCTGTTCCTGCAGACAACCCAGGAAAGACCCACTTGGGACCGATTGCTATTGCTATGATTGCCCTCGGAGCGTTCGTAGCAGCGGTGATCATAATTATCCTGGCCGTTTACGCTCAGTGGCAGAAAAGAAACGCTGAGACAGCAGACAATCCGTTCCGTATGTCATCTCCCCTTCAGCTCTTTAGTCTTATTCACTGCCATTGGAAGGTTTTTTTTTTTATATATATATTTTTATCTTCCAGCAATTTATAGTCCCAGAAGCTCTGATTGTCCTGAGGGGACTTGTGTGGCGTAGGACAATAGCATGGCGAGAAATATCTGCCATCTTCTGCACTCGAAGACGTGGGAGGACGAATTAGATGCACCGTTCATTAAATTTACGTTCATGCTTGATCTTACAGGTGACTGGCCCGGTAGCGATCCCGAAAAGAAGCATGGTGCAGCCCCAAGATTAAAGTCTGCTCGACGTTTCCCTCTAGTGGAACTCAAGGCCGCTACTAAAAACTGGAGTGAGGTGTTGGGAGAAGGTGGATACGGGAAAGTAAGTCGCTGACATTTCGTGACAAGTCAGAACAGTCTAACATTGTCCTTCATTGATTTGTCGCTACAGGCTACGGGTAGATCAGTCTTAATGGCTTTTAGTGAAAGCTTCTAAGCCATGATTTTGTGCAGGTGTATAAGGGAACCTTGAAGGACGGCGAGGAAGTTGCGATCAAGAGAGCCAACAAAGATTCTATGCAAGGGTTATCTGAGTTCAAGAACGAACTTGAGCTACTGTCGAGAGTTCACCACCGAAATCTCGTAGACCTTATAGGCTTTTGTTATGAAGGCGGAGAACAGGCACTTGTCTACGAGTTCATGTCAAATGGAACGTTTAGGGAGCTTCTCTACGGTAGGATTTCTTTTCTACTGAAAAGCACACCTTGTGACGAAGAGAAATGACTCTCATGATCTGCTTGTGCTCAAGATTAAGTTAGATAGCTTGGTATAGGGCTTACGAATCCCGATGTATCTGGTAGACTGGTCCGAATATGACGTGTTGTCTCGGTTTCATGCAGAACGCCCAGGAGAACCCTTGTCATGGCAGATGAGAGTGGACATTATACTTAACTCCGCCAGAGGGTTAGCTTATCTTCATGACCATGCAAGCCCGCCGATCATTCACGGTGATATTAAAACTGCCAACATTCTCCTGAACCAAAAATTTCTTGCCAAGGTTGCTGATTTTGGACTATCGAAGCCTACAGCGGAAGAGGAGAGAGCTCTGTACGCCAGCGAAGTCAGAGGGACCAGGGTAAGAAAAGCATATTAGTTTACATGTAATGATTATATGTGTCAGATCTCCGAGGATTGAATTTTTCTGCAGCAGTGTATCATATGGATATCAAGTCCCTAGAATGGTTGTACTGAGAATGTGCCATTTCTTGCTGATTTTGAAGGGTTACTTGGACCCGGAGTATTATCAAACGTACGTACACACATTCAAGAGCGATGTATTCAGCTTCGGAGTTGTAATGATCGAAGCTTTAACTGCTCAGAGTCCCACTCACGGAGGCAAGGATAATACTCGTGAATTTCGAAACGGTTTAGAGCATGGCGGATGGTCAGCGTTGCGCCCGCTCTTGGATCCCAACTTGGACGCAATCCCGAACAAAGAGCTGGAAGCATATATAGGCATAGCCCTTCGCTGTGTCGAGCATCGTGGCGAGGGCCGACCAACAATGACAGAGGTGGTCAAAGAACTGGAAGTATTTGCTAGCGGCGGTAGCAATCCTAACTCTGGAGTGCACAGAGTCGACATCCCTGGGAGCAAATCTCCTGAAATATACAGCGACACCGTTTCTCTCGTCAAGGACCCGAAGAAGTCGAACGAGAAGAGCGGGAAAGACGTGGATTCATCTTCGTTCCAATACAGCGGAGCATATGGGGTCACTACCACAATCACTCCAAAATAGTAGCTGTTCTCCTTGCCATGTAGCGGAAGGAATTTACATTTTCGTGAAAGTTGATGCGTACCAGTGTCCAGTTCCAGATTGGAAACCTAGTCTGCACCGTTGGTGAATTTGTTTCTATCCGATGCACGGCTGCTGAGGGATCAAGTTTAAGAATACACTTATCCCTCACTGCTCGAAGACATGTGCTTCTGCTTCCAAATAGTCCACTAAAAAGCGAAATTTCCCCGACAATACCTGCTTTGCACAGGTCAGAAGTAAAGCGTTGTATCAAGAACACTTGGTTGACAAATGTTTTTGAACAATCGGTGCAGGTGTTAAGACGGATCTCATCAAGGAGCTGATGTGATCCCTGCTTGATCTCACGATGCGCGTCGGATTCGCATCCGCCCCCACGAGTATACAACTTCCCCTCTGTACATTATGAAGCAGCTCTTACATGTGATCAATTCACTCTTTTTGGCTAATGTAAATACAATGTGACTATGACTTCATATTTTTTTCTGCACTGTTTTCCCCGAGCAGCCATAGAAATCTAGCAGGCCTAGAAAGATCTACAGGTCTCATATTCTTCAAGTAGTAACGTCGTCACCTTTCACGAGATCATCGAGTAGAGCATGTTGTGTAGCATATCAGACTCCTCATCTAAAGCTACAGGATATCTGTAGAGATATGACAGTTTGTTCCTACACATACAGATCCATTCACAAATTGAAGTTCTGGAAGACAAAATGGAACAGCTGTTTTAGGATACATGGTAGCTCCTTTCTGATAGACTCGGTCTTGAGTTCTGGAGAGGAGACTACGGAATTCTGTATTACGCCAGAGGAGTGAAATTCTATATGGCCATTGATGTGGAAGGTACGGTCGGAGAGAGTTCGTGTTGTGCATCATTCAACTCCCAACGAGCATTCTCTCCTTGTAAGTACCATCTTAGTGTAGACCGATGGCAATGCGTGTGATAGTAGGTAATATACACACAAATTTTTTTGTCAGGAAGATGATGGATTACGAGAGTGGTCGGATGTTTAAGGTATTAAAATTTTGATCGTCCTCATTTGGCCGTAAATGGCTGTTTTGCCGATGAAGTGTAAGTCTGCAATGTGGAAGATATCTACATCTCTGCACAACATAAAACTGTTTCGGCTCCTTGCATGAATATGCTCTCCTCCCTAGCGCGCTTCTTGTCTTGCGTATAGGATGTTCAAGCCTTCCAACGTTTCGGATTTCGGACAGATGCATAATCAGACGTGAAGATGAAAATCTCAATACTGCCCAGGTCAGTGTGATATCTACTCAATGTCAGATATCCTGCAAGTCTCTCCTCTCGCTGGATTGGATCTCTTCAAACTCAATTGCTCGGAATTGGGGGAAACATTCTAAAATTATCTCTTGGCTCTTCGTATCTTCGCAATTGAGTCGGGGAATTTTGTGATACCGTTGGTGGCAAATGTAGATTTGGTATAAGTGCCACTGGGTGCGAGTGTGAGTTTAGCGAGTGTTCATCATGATCTGATAGCGGTCTTTAATCTAGGCACCGCCCACCAAGCAACGAAAATGAATTTGGAACGTATATTCGCCAATTTCTTCTTAGAATGAACGGCTGAAATTTCGAAGTCACGCTAACAGATCATAGTAGAGAAAATATCACACTTCAACCATGCGTTAAAGGAAAGTGGGCTGGTCAAACTTGTGTGACTCTCAGCTGTCAAATAGTTGTACTTTGTGCAATCAAAGAACACTCGAAAACATATTGGTTATAGACGGAGGAACTGAGAACTTCAAGACAAGGTACCCACACCCTTTCCCTCTATCCCCTACTGTAAATCCCATGATGGAAAGGAAACGATTATGTGAGACAACTGTGCTTGAAACTCGATAAGCCATCAACACTGCAGACTCCAACCTTTTGCATACAATATTCTGTTTTGTATCCAACTATTCTCTGGTTCTTCTTGTACTCCGATATACACGTAAGTGTCATGAATAACATTAGAAAATTGATTATCCACAAGACAGTGATGTAAAAAGTAGTTTTTGCCTATCGATTGTGATTTGTGTGGACACCGACTATACACATGTATTTACTGAACTATCAGTGTCGAGATGGTTCTTAATATGGATCGCTGAGCAATAGATGCCCCATCACAGAAATCGTTAAACTAGCCCAATTATCTAACCTTGTGATATCATACATCTCCGTTTGTGCACCGAATAAGCTAACTGGTTCTCGCACTTGATTTCGAATGCAATGCCCTTGACTCATATCACTTACTAAAATGCTCCCTCTTGAACAAAACACATATATGATGTTGTGTAAGAAGCAAATCTTCCTAATGCCTAATCAATACAACTGTGATATAATAAACTCACCTGAGTATGAAGCTATGGATATTGTGTTTTGAAAGATTGCAATTAAATGACGTGTGCTTGTTGTAGATTCCTGCTACCCATCCTCTTTTTCATGCAAGAATTTATTGAACTTCTTCTTGTCCCACAGGAGCAATGAACTTTTTGGAATATGAATTACAAATGTTGAAAGTGGTTTGATAACTGCGTGTGTGCCCTTTGGTATGAAAAAACTCTCGAGTACTCTAACAAACGCAAACAACCATATAAGATTTGTGAACTGAAGCAATCAGCATTGTCCGATCTCAATTCCCATTAACTTTGGTTAACTTGATGTTGGTGCGTCATGCTCACAAACCGTCCGTTGTAATCCAAAAATAATATCTGGAGAGAAAACCAAAAGCTCAGGACGTTCAAATGTGATGGGATGTACACCAGGAGAGGTCGCTTCGACGAGCTCTTGATAGCTGGTAGCAGTTGGCTCTTGGACTCGTACTTAATCCTGCTGTAAGAAGACTGAGAACTATGAAAAATGCATGTTGACGCCAGTCTCGTCTCGTCTTGCGGGATTTGGAACACTTTCCTCGGCCTACTACTGTTATTCATACTCTTCGGTTCTCAAAAGTTTGCTCCACCGTATGAGAACGTGATACTAGCTCGAACTGTGATGCTTCCAAACCGAATGTTGAAGGTAGATCCTCTTGACCAATCAAACGATCACATCTGCGAGGATGACTTGCGGATTCGGACTTTAAATTTGCCTTCTTCACATATTTCCTACATATGAAAAAACTTAAATGGAGCTTGACCTTGAGAAATTGCGCAAAATTTGTTCTGGCTGCAAAATTTGCCTTAGTACGAGCTCATCATTATCATCTTGAGAAACCCTGAGTGCAACACCGTAACTCAGCAGAAGTTTGAGACATCAATCACGAGGAGTTTGAATCCTAGTCCCATCTTATCTATAAATAACATTTTTGGTGTCGAAGGATTTTCGTCACGCATGCATAACATTTATGATTTTGAAGCAAAAGAAATTGCAGTCTGAGGTAATTTAGTAGACTAGGGAATCCCCAGTCGAAACCGATCTGCTATATTACCATTGCGATACTATTGACTTGAAGGACCAGATAGTATACCCTTAGAGTTTCATCCATGTAAGACTTCCCCATCATGTTCCCTCGTGAGTTTGGATGATGAGCAAATGTAATATTGACATGTATTACGATGCTTTAAGTCTTCTCTATGTTTCTTCTCATCCTTCCCTCATGAATGAGACTAGCTGTTCTTTAACCTCCATTCATTACCAAAGCGATCTAGACTCTAACTGCTTATACTATGATGTTGATTTCTTCTGCAGATATTGCGGCCTATTTGGATTTCCAAATTCATACTGGTATCACATCGACACGGTAGATGAGGATTCTGAATACATTTCACACATATCTCAAAGTAGTGAAGACAACGAGCAGTTTTATATAGGCGACCGTCCCACAAAGTAAGGTCGAAAACCATTTGGCCCTCGCCTCATTGCTTAATTAATCCCTCTTTAATTGCTTAATAAAAGAGGGATTTCATGTTTGTACAGTCAAAGACGGAGCCGAATGCTTCATCGCAGTGCAATCGGGGATCAGGTTATACATAGATTCACTTCATGCGTGATCACTGACAGAAGGCTCTGAAAGATACAGTGTAGTTACTCTCTTGCGTAATCAGTAGTGAGTTAACTTTACTTTATTACGATAATCATTCAAACATGCAAAAAGCTCCGTATAGTATGAAGGTTTCGGAGACGCAGCTTGGCATAAGCTTTGGAGAAATCTCGTATCTGGCACGAGTCGGCCCCGATGCGGACGGAGACATGGAAATCCATCCGACAATGGATAGGACGAATAAGATGACTATTCCGACATGAACAAATACGTTTTCCATGGCCAATTCCTTCTCATATGATGAAGACGAGGATATGCCAAGAGAATCTATGATGATGAAGCCAATGAGATCATAGAGCACGAATACGATGCAGATGAACTCAACAGTTGTTGCAAATTGCTTCACCGTGCCAAAGCCTCCAGTTCATCACCAGCTATGTATACAAATATATCAATGATTACCTTGAGATCTGCGAGTGATGGATGACCTTAGAGGATGACGATGTCATGAGCATGTGTGGATGTGTCTCAAGTGTGACAACTTTCTAAGAACTTTGTATGAGAAAGGTAGAAAATGATTGATCTCAAGTGATCATGATGTATTCTGTCCTAGCATTTTTGGAGAAGCAATAGCTATAGAGCACTATGCAAAAATAGCTTAACAAGAACTCTATCTCGTGCTTTTTAATGACCTCTGATGATCATGATTAGCAGTGTTCAAGGCTCATTCTAATTCATTCTATGACATATATAAATAAGATTTTCTGAGCACTCAAGGTACTTTGAAAGAGAGAAGTGAACTGCTGTTCATAATCTTTGATTCAGCATGTATGCTAAGAATGTCATATTTCAATGTCTTTGGTTGGTAAACTTTTGACTTTTCTCTTTTCACGATTCCTACCTTCAGAAACCTTAAGAGTTAGTGATGCTAACCACATAGATCTGATCTTGAAGGCACTGAAACGTAGACTCGTATTGAAGGTAAAATAGCTTTTGTACTGTGATCGAGTTGGTCCAGTCTAGCAGTTTGTCACACAACAATCAATCATAAACCCAATCTTTTGGGTTCTGGGAGCTGAGAATCATGGCATTCCTCACTCAACTTCATGGAGAAAATCTGTCAGAACATGCGAATATTTCAAACCGTTTCACACAGTGCCTTGGCAATGTTCATTGATACATATGCTCTATACAGAGTGATGGTAACTGTTCAAGTACTGAGATTGTAGCTGCTACACTATCAGAATGTTATCAGCGATCTTTCGATCATGAATTCCTTCCACTGGCTTGCGACAGAGGGAGCTTCTTGGACTGTTGAAAGGGAGCCTAGTTTCATTCGAGTGGCCTCGCCGAAGGATCATCAACCTACGTCTCCAGGACCTCCCAAGTATTTCGTGTGGATGTTGACTTTCGTCAACATTGCAGATAACTTGGAAGAAGGTGGACGCACTTTGATGTACTCGAAGTTGAACACACCGACAACCTCAAGGCCCTTGTCAGAAGCTTTCTGAATGGCATAGCACTGGCAAGAACGAAAGTCTGTTTTGAGCTTCCTGAAAACTGTCATCATCCGTCTCTCTATGGGCACCTTCCTGAGCCACATCTCCGAAGAATTTGAGATTCTTCCGATCACACAAAGGGTAATCGGTCTTTGGCCAGATTCACGACGAACAGCTCTTGTCACTCTTTTGAGAAAAGAAACTCTTCTGCTACCACAAATGCCAGAAACACGCTTCAAAGCGAATTTCTCTCGATAGCCTGTCGACTCCTGCGAAATTTCTTCTTCCTTGCGATTGGTGCCTGCCACTCTGCACAAGAAAAACGTCAATAAGAGCACTGTATAAACATCAATCCTATAATCAACTTTTAAAATATTGGGCAAATGAACTGCAAGATGAAGAGAGAGTGGATGGGGCTAGCTCAAGGAGTGGTGAACCAACTATCCAAAGGGCTGTAATGATCTTTCCCGGAAGTTCAAGAGGCAATATATAGGTAGTATACGAGGTCCCAGATAGATGGGAGGTTTGTAGATGCGTATGATATAAGGTAGCGAGCTGACACACGGAGAAGCTCCATGTGAATGTCAGTGGAGTGAGTGGAGTTTCCGAATCGAATACTATCCAACACCTCGTGCCGAACGTTCGTGAAGGTGTCTGAAACTACCTTCTGCTGAGACAGAGACAGTGCCAGCTCTAAGAGCTCCTGACAAGATGAAAATCGAATCGGAAGACCTGATGATGAATGGATCGACGAATGATTCACTCTTCGAACTTAAACACAACATCTAAGACGACCAGAGTATTCCATCCCATAAGCCAGCAGTCTTCACACAACAACCTCATCCTCGTACTCAGAGCTCCTTGCAGTTGAATCTCCTATAAATAATCTGATCAGGAACCAGCCCCTCCCCCTATGACTCATTCACAACAAGTCGCTCATTAATCAAGATCTCTAAGTACATCACATATTCTCCAACTTATAATCAAACAAAAAATTTGACTCTTTAGGAAGTTCTAATATTATACATATATATTTTCAAATTGTGTCTAACTGTAATAGACCGATCGACCTCCCTGGAGAGATCACGATAGCCTTCTCACAAGAACTGCTCATGAAGTCGTAAAAGTTTTAGTTTCAATGGTGAGATAGACGAAGGCAAGCAGCATTGAAATACTAGCAGCTGGTAAATTTCCGGCCAAAACCAAAAGAAACCGAAATACATAAGAAAAAGAATTAGAAACTCCAATTAGAAGCATTGTTTAAATTTGGTAATTAAAATGAACAGAGGTGTACATGTGTCGATCTCTGGTTCTATATATAGAAGATGGTACAGATCTCGTATTATGAGGTTGTGGTACGTTCAAATCTACAAGGATCGCTTGACGGGTTGTACTTGCTCTACGCTTGCCGCCTAGCGACGGAGGTTGGGTGGCACTTGCCAGCCCAGCGGCGTGATTTCTCTGCAAATTGCAGTCTCGACGTCCAACAGTATCTCGGCCTGATGTGATATTTCATTGACTCATACAGTCTGACGTGTCTCACTGATAGAACTCGGAAGCAGCTTGATGAAAATAAATGTTTCCGTTGTATATGGCATAGTAACTGATCTTCTCCTCTTTAACGGTATCAGTTCACAAATTCGCAATTGTATAAGATTATGAGAGATTCTTCTTCGAGTTTCTGTAGTTTACACTGACATTCATATTCTGAATAGAGAGATGAACCTCAATCTTAGAATAGTTTTTGAAGTTTTTAAGTGAATGTGGTTCTACAATCATGTCTGATCAGAACAGATCAATCGAACCAGGCTTATGTTACTATAGAATAGAACACATATCTCTTAAAAAACAGAAAAAAATTCTACGTTCAACTCTCCATGACTACTTTAGAGTATGGACTGATGCAGTATTGAAGTTATATGTAAATTAAAAAAGATAGAATCAACCACTATATAAATGACGCTTGATCCATAGAAAGATTTAAATCTTGAACAATAGAAAATATTCACATGGAAGATTCAGAAAGCATGGATACGTAATGTAAAAGTCGGAAGAGTTCTCTTATTTGAAAACTTCAGGAGGTCTTTTGTTCATTTTAGACTCTGCAATACAGAATGTTATTTGTAACTCACTTCATAAACCGTTTGGATATGGCGCACCTTGTTGCACTCGTTAAATGGGAAAAACAGCTGTGAATAACGAGCATCTTATCATCAGTTTACACTGGATTTGTTCGATCCAACTTCAGAAAACAATTCCAACATCACTAGATTTTCTCATGTCAGGGTAAGAGTATTCGAGAAGTTTCAGTGGACAAACTGAATCCTGACTTCTGTGCGTATCGCAAAACAGATGCAAATAGTCACTTTCGGATTATATTTGAAACTAAAATTGCGAGGAAGTAAATTCACAGAAGCGGCGATGATTCGTGAGACTACCTCTTCTGGTATATGACTATGGTGGAGATTCTAACCAGGAAAAAACTCTTTAAAAACCAGTTTGCAAGCAGGTCTTCAGTAGAAAGATGGACATGTCAGCCATGAATTGTACCAGATTTATCAGTGCAGAAAAACATAAAAATGATTGTCGCTATCTTGCAAAGGATTAGAAGCAATCTAGTATAAAAGTATTCATATCATGGGTTACTTAAAGCCACGTAAGCTTCTTTACTTCTCAATCATTTGAAAATTATCCGATACAATCAAGATTTTATGTCAGAGACAGTTTTGTACTGTCACCCACTTCCTACAATAGTAGGAAGCCTAAGGAATATCGTTCAGATTACTTTTTGACTTGCTTCAACATATCTTTCACATGCAGTGCGTTTTTCAGCATATATAGTATGAAAGGCTATTTTCTCCTTTATTGCTCACATTTAAAGCCCTCTGTTCTGCTGCACATGTGGCTTGATACTTCCGTTCGGCAAAATCTTTCTATGCTGAAGTACCACGTCCAGAGTTGATCACAACGTTTCTATTCTTGTCTGCAAACGAAGAAGCCCCAACGATAAAACGCCGGGAAGAAAAAAGGGGAGGCCATAATGATCAGAAGTATTTAGAATAGGAGAAGACACTGAAAAACTGCGAGAAGATCATAGCCAATGATTAAGGTATGCTGATCCAAAACTGTAATTATGACATATACATGTAAAATATATCATTGATGTAGACATCAGGAAATTAGCAAAGCTGCATTGTAGAAAATTCATGTTGAAGAACCTACCAACCAATTTCGAAGATGAATAGTATAAATCTTTATATTTATATTATACTAGCAGCTCCAATTTTGGGATTAGGATTAACCTTTTCGAATTTCACAGGCTCAATTTACTCCTGACTGTGATCACACGTGACCACTATTTTGTTACATGCGCTGCACGCTTGCTTCGCATCTATGGGCTCTAAATTGCATATTATCATCGTAGGCCACCCAATCAAGCAACCATTACTGAGAAGTTTGAGCACTGCCAGACAAGAAGAATTCAACTTGAAAGACGACTTGTACCTCCTCAAGAAAGGTTTCTCAGAATCGATATTCCATAGGCCCTTGAATATGCAGACAAAATCATTATTATTTCTGCCAAAAAATTATCTGTTCGATCTACCTTTGAGAAATAAATTCCACAGAATGAATTTGAGAAAATTCATTCGCTTGGGGGTTTTCTAAGTTGAGTGGCTACTTAAATCTCTCTTTACGTACTTGTTAAAGATATTCTTTGCATTAAGTGCTATTAAGTTTAGGCCTAGAGTTTGAGTACGCTTCTTTTCTGCTGAATAAAAGTATGTAAATTTGTACGGTGAATAGGTCCTTGTGAGTCATAGAGAATGATAGTAATTCTCTTTAAGCTTATATTTTTGGTGAACAACTTCCAACAAGTTCGGAATAAATCTACTCAGTCTGACTCTGTAAGTTAGCCGCGTGCACCTTAAAAGAGTTGAAAGATTAAATAGTCCTTCTACATGACATACTCTTGATGATATTTAAGTTCTTGAGTAATTTCTAATATTTTTGTATTAACTTGCAATCACATGTGATAACGTGTGACAGTGGCAATCCTGAAGGGTAACATTAATTTTTGCAGCAAATGACAATATACTTTCTTATCAAGTCAATGTTCTCATATATAGCTCAGTAGAGAATGACCGTCATTGCAATGAACCGAATGTACTGCAGACGAGTCTGAAGTGTTCGAACACCACGATGTTCGTATTAAGGCTTTGATCCATGTCAATTTCATTCCAGTTGCCATGAATTTGGATGCTTAACATTCTTCTAAGAGATCATATATGGACTAGATTTTTATAGTTCATGGATGTCATCCTATGGGATCCACAGTATTTCGAAGATGAATGAAATGCCGACTTTCCGTGGGAATATTTCAACTGGAATGTCATTACGTAGAATGTTATAACTATGAATAGATCGTGTGTTGGGTTGTGCAGTCCTGTGGCCATGTTCCAACAAAGTTTGACACATTTCTAGGAATTTAAGGTGGTTTAGAAACTATATTTAGAAAACATTTCGTCATGAACTCTGCATAAGATATCAAGCAAAGGAAAAATGGATGTTTTAAAACAAAGATCTTCCCCTTTCTCTAAAAGGTAGAAGCAATCGAGGGATGCGTAATAAAACTGCCCTGATGATCCTGCCGTTGGATAATACTCAGATATATATTCCCTAACACCTGATGCTGGTTTGCACATCAATGTTAGATTGAATCTGTACAAGCCTTCCGATGTTATGTCGGGAAACATGAGGGTACCGTTCAAACGGCTATCGTGTATGCAACCAATGATCACACCGAGTTTCAACAATTCATCGCTGGAATCTGAGATACACAAGTGGGCTTGCTTGTCCTCAAACAGGCAACAATGTCAGCCGTTTTTATCTTGACAGAAGATATCGATTTGTCGGAAAGGTTGCAAGAAGAAGGTGTAGAAAGGAACTCAGTCTCTCAACATCTGCCACGTTCAGTGATGCCACAGGTTATGGACGTTCCTTGACTCGTGTGAAGAAACTCTCGCACGTCTTGCACAACGCACGTTGTTCATTTATATCCTGATTATAAACGACAACGCTGGACTTCTTTAGACTTTGACAATCTCTCTCAAATCGTCAGTTACGTACCACCTCACAGCGTGCAACATCTGGTACATTTTTTCAGCCACTAACGTAGAGCGGTGCTATCTTCAGACTTATTTATAGACGATGAACTGCCTAGTGACTTCTCGTGCTGCCCTTACCATCATCAACAATGTCTGGAACCTCAGACTTTTCCATCAGACAGATAACCAAGGTTTTCTCACAACCAGCCATTCTTAATCACGACATGACAACATCTAAGTCAAGTAAAAATCCTTTCAGATCGAAGATTAAATCTAGTGTGGAATAATTTCAAGTTGTGTAGTTCAAAGACAACACGCACACAGCACTCAGATCACGTTCATTTCTGTTCAACATCTTGTGAGTTGATACCGGACGAAGATAACTCTTTGCAGTAAGACAAGCAAGTATGTGGATGAAGGAGATGATGTTCAAATGGTGGACTGAAATGACGAGTGATGTACATATATGGCTCAGGCCTGTCACATATATGGCACGTCTTTGATTGGTTTACTGTGAAGAGTCGGGTTCTCATTTGCTTTAGTTTAGTATGTTGATTTTTGGCATGGCAGTGCTTTTTTATTTTGAAGCTGAGATCTGCATCTTGTATGATTACTGTATTCTGAAGAGATTTACAGAAGTTGTGGTCGTGGTCTGTTCTTGTGGACGGAGCTTACGATAATTCGAATTGCTCTCATGCACTCGCATTCAGATGTTACATTTGATCTTTATGAGGTTGACGGAAAGGATTTTGTGATAAAGACGGCTGACTTGTACATTCATATCGTTGGTTTTAGCAGAAGTTTTGATTGCAAG